CACATGGTTTTTATAAAACCGTTATAAAACAGGATAGAAAAGGTTCAAACATTTAATTTATTGATATATCAAATAATCCTTCTGCCAAGCAATGTAGTTCTTGGTTCCACATGTGATGAGCCTTTTTTATAAGAAAAAAGTCACTCCTCTTTACACCTGTAAGACATGTTATAGAGCTGTTATGACATGTTTATAACAGTCAGTCATGTGTACGTTGTTATCAGAATGGTTTTTGGTATTTGTAAGCTTAAGACATGCATCCTTTCGCATTAATTTGCACCAGGTTCAGCCCACTTAAAAGGGTAGTCCACCCAAAAATGTTAATTCTGTCATCATTTACTCGCCCTCATGTCGTTTCAAACCTGTATGCATTTATTTCTTCTGCTGAACACCAAAAATATATATATATTGAAGAACGTTGACACCAAACCGTTTCGGTTCCCATTGACTTCGATTGTATTTTTTCATTTTTGTTTTTGTTTTTTCATACAATGATAGTCAAAACTGTTTAGTAACCAACATTCTTCAAAATATAATCTTTTGTGAGATAGAAAGTTATAAGGTTTGGTTGGAACGATATGAGGTTGAGTACATTCATTTTTGGGTGAACTATACCTTTAAGTCTGAGTTTGACCCTCCAGCTGGTCAAGCGTGGTCATTGCTTGCTTGTGTGTGTGTGTGTGTGTGTGTGTGTGTGTGTGTGTGTGTGTGTGTGTGTGTGTGTTGCTAAAAATCATCAGCACAAGTTCCACACCGTTGCTGTAATACGTGCTGTGTGCTCCCTTCTGTATAAACAATGTGCATCGTGTTTCTCTGCTTATTTCTCTGTGTGAGTGGGTTACTAATTCCTTGTTGAGCGACTCTTAACAAGCTTGTGAGTTTATTCTCCTTTGAGCGCTGTCAGGGTCCAGCTGCTTCAGACCGAATGCTTTTTATATGCAGGCTCAATGTTGATACTCTCGCTGGGTTTGCAAGGTAACGGGGCACTGAGGAGCGATGTTGTTTAATTAGGATCTATTCTATTACCCCGTCACCGGAGGCTGTGTCTGTGTGTGCGTGAGCGAGAGAGTGAATATATGATTGTGAGCTTCAGGGAGGGTGAAAGATGTCAAGATGTGCAAGGGTTCTATCATGAGCCGGGGTTTCCATGGTAATCTTCAATTTCTGGTCCTTGGCACATCCCGTTGAGCACAGCTTTTCCGTATTTTTTTCTTTCAGCCATATTTTGTCTTTTTAAAACTATAATTAAAAGCTTTGCATGCATTAACAGGCCTGCCTGTGGTGAATAATGTGTCTTAAAATGCACGTTTATTTGGCAAACTATGAGAATATCGCTTTTGGATTACACCAAAGGCCCTTCTTTTAAAATAAAATACTTGGTTTAGCTAAGTTAAACCAAGTTCAAGAAATAAACTTTCATGTATATTTAGCATCACCACTGCTATGCAGAGAGACGTTCCCTACGTTCTTGTTCTCACAGCTCCCCCTTGTGGTCACTGTGTGCCATATTTCATATAAACAGCTGCTAGACTGTGACCCGAGTCTTTTGTTTGGTGTTTATGGGGCTGTTGTGCACACAAAGCAAATGTCTGAATGTATTAGACTCGCCTCCTTTATCTTGAGCACTCGGCCAGACTGAAGAGCAGCCAAATCCAGAGCACTTCTGAACTACTTAGCCTGATTTCATACGCCTTGGCTCGTCTCATTATCTGGCCTGGGAAACTCAGCTCAGCAGCGGCCTTTGAGAAACGATGTGTCAGCGTGTGCCACACGTCTTAGGCCTCTAGTGGGGATGCTCGGTGTTCAGGATCCTCTTCACCTTTGCGTTGTCATGGAGCTGTCCTGGCTTTAATGGCTTTTTTTTTTAGTGGACTATTTGTCTGCTACTTTCATATAAGCATCGTTTTATCCTTATTTTCCTGTTACAGAGATATATACAGTATATTTAGAAATATGTAATCAGTAGGGGCGCCATCAGCCCAGGGGAGCAATGCAGCAACTTTTTCTTATCTATATTTATCATAAAATGCCAAAAATAAATAAAGGAGAACCTCCATTTATGCTGATTTCCTCACTGTATGTTTTGTAATTTATTTATGCAGACCATAAGGAGTTTATTCAGCATGGTGAAAATTAAAAGCAGAAATTGTGGGATTGTGTTTAACTTTTTTTTGTCTTTTTTTTTTTTTTGTCTTCCATTGACATAAATAAAGTCCCTTTACATTCCTGAGTTGTTGTTTATTTTTGTTTAGTTAAATTTTTTTTTCTTCCTCTGCCATTTTGTCCATCTGATCATATTGAAGCCCTGTTAAATCCCAAGCAGGAAAATAATTGCTCTCCAGTTCTTTTTGGATGACCTGATGTCCGGTTCTATTTGTTTGCTCATCTCTGGCCTCTTGAAATTGCACTTCATGCCTGCCTCACGGCCCATAATGCAGGGTTTTTAATGAACGCACGTTTTGAATACCTGGTCGAATTTGTATAGTGCCGTGTTGTGTTGTTTTCGCGTCTGTCAATGTGATTTCTGTTGAATCTATTGCACGAGTTTCACTGCAACAGGAACCACCTGTTTATTTCTTTGTAGCACTTTTTGACAGTGGACTCGGAAACTGCAAATTCAACCAATGTTTCTTTGTGAATCTTCTGTTTTAAGACCAACTTCAGCTGTTCTGAAATTGTCCGAACAGTGTACGTGGAGCTGGATATAATGTGTGGAAAAGGCTGTACAGCAATAGGCCTACCTCCTATCTTGTGGTCCTTTTCCCCAACTTTACAGTCCGTCTACATGATAAAATGGTTCTGTGAGAGGTTAAATTAGTCTTTGCTATTCACATCACGATATTTAAGGTGATTCTTGTAATATATGGCCAGACATTCAATTCGGCTTCATTAGTTACTAAGTAACTAAATGTGGTTTAGTAGATTATTTAACCCTTTGCTCTTGATTTGAAGCAGTAACTTGAGCTCAGCCACTTAGTGCAGTCAATGTTTTTTTGAGTATGTATCGTTGGGGAACAGAATCAGACATGTCTGGTTGTGCTTGTACACCAACTCTCTCAAGTCTGCTAGAATGCTTGTATCGGTTGTCAGTGAAACCTTTAATCTGTAACTAAACCCAAGTCAAACCCCCTCATCATTGACGTTTCATCCGGAACTGCCTTTGGTTTCCCCGTGAGCTTCATGAACCACACAGCACTGGTTGAAGCCGATGATCTTATGATGCCAGTCTCTCCTGAACTGTCTTTTGTACGCTTGCATTGAGATGCTCAACCCAGGACCAAGAGATGTGATGGATTTTACTCCATTTTCTTTTGATCGCTTTATAATTTGTACCTGTTTTCTTGCATGGTTTTTGTATCTGACATGCTTGGGAAAGTTTCACAGTTCCATGTAACGTTTGCGAAGTTCTATTAAATATGGTGCTGTTTTTTAGTAAGCAGTCGATGTCGTATAGTGATGGACGGGTTCTGTGTATAATCTGTTACTTTTATGATTTATCAGTGGTTGGTTGTGCTGATCTGGTATGTTATATTCCTCCTTGCGATTTTTGCTTGAGTCAGTTTTTGTAAGTTCTTTTATTCTTACTTTCTGTCTCAGTCTCTGACTGTTTTGTTGTCTGTATTTGTGAAGAAAATTTATGGTTGCAACTTGCAAGCCTCTAACCTGAACCACGAGTGAATGCCTGGTGAATAAATGGAATTAACGCTCTCGCTCACCGGTTTCTTAATAAAGGACATTTTTAACATATTTCACCTCGGCTGCTTATTCTGAACATCTATTAATATTCATCTCACAGTCAGGACCTGTATCTGACTCCATTCCTCAAGGTTTCTCTTCTGCAGCTTGTTTATTAATTACATCGAGAATCCTTACTTTTGTAGTTTGTGCCTGTCAGCGGTTTCTAGTTTGAAATACATTTTTTGCTCAATGAAAAGTTTGTGCTTCCACTGTGCCTGTGGATCCGTTTCTCTAACCCAAATCCCATCCTTATAGCTCGAAAATCGACTGTTTAAAACAGCATCCACTGAGCTGTAACCTTTCGACTTTCATGACTCAAACTGATTTGCAAAAAAAGCTTACGATAATTGGTTTGTCCTATACACTGTTAAAAAAATGTGGTGTTAGATTTGTTTTTTTGAAAGAAGCTTCTTTTGCCCACAACTACATTTATTTGATCAAAAATACAGTAAAATAGTAATATTGTGAAATATTATTAGAATTTAAAATAACTGTTTTCTATTGTAATATATATATATTTTTTTATATTTTATTCCTGTGATGCAAAGCTGAATTTCCAGCATCATTAGCCTACTCCATGTCTTCAGTGTCACATGATCCTTCAGAAATCATTCCAATATGCTGATTTTCTGCCCAAGAAACATCCGTTGATGAAGAAAGTTCAAAAGAACGTAATTTAAGCTTTTTGTAATGTCTTTTAAAAAGTCACTTTTAATAAATTTAATGCATCCTTGCTGAATAAAATTTATTTTCTTTAAAATCAATATGTCATTTTCAAGTTGTTCAATAAATGGCACAATTTTTAAGTTATAACATAAATTATACAAAACCAATAATCAGTTATCTATCAGTTATGGGAACACTTGGACATAAAATAATCTTTATTATAGCATTGGTCGTAAAACAACAACATTGGTTGATCTCTAATGTTCACTATCAGATACTGCAGATACATGTATTAAAAAAACCCCCATCAAATTAAAGAAGCCACAATATGCCACACTGAATTTTAATAGGAGACCAGAATAGTACACAGCTGTTCAAGTGAAACTGCAGAACAGAACATTTTAGGAATTGTTTAAATATTACATTTTAATACGCATGTATGTATTTATTTGAGAAATATAAATGCAACAACATGCAGTTTACAATATGTTGATTTGTCTGGCATTATTGATAATCAAGTTAAGTAAAAAAAATAAAAAAACCTTAACCCATCTTCAAATTAGCTTTTAAAAAGACAGGTTTCAGTTTATTCTGTGGCATTCGTAGATGGTTTTGCTGTGCCCACCCCCACAGGAATGTGACACCCTCTCAGACTGACCCCAGCAGCTGTATGGAGAGAGAGAACACATGGCACTGGCTATTTTAAGAGTTCATTCAACCAACTCATTCAAACATATCTTTCCCTGGACGTGGTTGTTCCTTCTGGATCTCTCCTCAGCTGAAAGTTCTGGACAAGCTTGTCAGGGGCCGGGCAAGTTCATAAGTACCTGAGACGAGTCAAAGTCAACCAGAATATCAAACAGGCCAATATGGCTCTACTGTGTTACAACAGAGGCTGCGGGGATCGATTTGATGCTGACAAAAACTCAGATGGTAATTTTTATAATTTATTTTTTACTATTTATCAGTCTATATTGTTAAAAAAAGTATCTTATACTTTTTTAAGCGAACTGAATAATGTAATTGTCTATGTGAAGCTCATGGTTGGTATTACAGGCCTGATGTTACATAAATCTACCACAACTTTTAAGAGTGACATAACTGTTGGAGAAGTGTTTTATCACTTTCTGTGCTAGACCTGCTGTGAAGCTGTTTTAGAAATTGAAATATATAAATAGAGCTGCCGACAGCTGATTGCAGTGAGAATGAGAGCCGCTGGTCTCGGGGGGCACGACTTCATTTTGGCCTTGTTTTCTTTGTTTTATATTGATATAAAAAGATGATTTAGTGTGTGTCCATAGAGGTTTATTGGATCCACGAAGTCCCCAGCACGTTTGGAGGTGTTCTAATCGAATGTTACTTCCATAAATGGCTCATCTCCTAGCTGTCCATGTGTTTACCTATGTATTTATGCCAGTAAGCAAGGCGTGAGGCCTATTGAGTCGAGTTCATAAAAAAAAGGGTAATAATGAGGGATGGACTTCTGTAGATAAATGTCTCCTGCTAACTCCTATTTTCTCTCTCACCACCTGAAGATGCCTGTCAGTTTCACCCCGGAGTGCCAATCTTCCACGATGCCTTAAAGGTGAGCTCAGAATGTATCTTTGTCTGCACAGACCGCCGGCTGCTCGGTTCTGGCGCTGTCATAACCTGATAAGAACATTTTCGGCTTGTTTGCCTGCTTCTTAGGGAGCCTATATTCATGCGTTTTTGTTTTATTTTGTTCTTGGCTGTCTGATGTGGTTCTTTGTTTGGGTTATTCTCCTCAGGGCTGGTCCTGCTGTAGAAAGAAGACGACAGATTTCTCCGAGTTCCTGTCAATCAAGGTATGCTAATAATAATCGTGACGGACGGTTTCATCTCGCGCTGCTTTCCATGCCCTGCACGCGCAGTAACTACAGACTGGAACAAAGTGACAGAAAATGTCTCAGACAGCCACAAAAAAATCCTTTGGTAACACTTAACAATAAAGCTCAATTTGTTAACATGGATTAATGCATTTTATAAATATAGTATAAATGAACATTATTGTATTATGGGCATTGAGAGAGAGTGAAAGAGAGAGACAAAGACAAAGCTGGTTGAGTCATGACTGGTTTTAGAGGGGTTTTGGTCATGCTGGGAGACGAGCTTGAACCAGCTCAGACCAGCCGACTAGCTTATGCTGGTTTTTAGCTTTTTTTCAGCAGGGAAATCAATTAACAATACGTTTATTTGTAAATTAACATTATAAATGCAATAAATGCTGTAAAAAATTTTATGACATCTAACTGTTAACTAACTGAATCGTATTGTAAAATGTCTTCAAATATGCTAATTTAATGCAGTGACTCAAAAGCGCATTGTCCACAACAAAAATTTGAATGCAAAAGTAATGGATTTTTAATTTCATTTAAATCATTTCTACATGGCATAGAAGGTAGTGCTTGGCATAATTATAAATATAGGCCTATATTAAACATAAAAATGTTTATGGTATTTTACCAGACTTTTGCCAGGTCTAGAAATCACACTTTAAAAATGACCGTACATTGAGGCACCCTTGGACGTTTTACATTCATTTATCAGATACTTTTATTAAAAGTGACTTATCAAATACCAAATTATCATATAGCAGCCACCATTAGAATTACTGAATGTTAAGAGCTAGTGCTACAAAATCTCAGAAACAAGTACTAATAATCAAACATTACTGAAGTCGTTTCAAACATGAATCTCAAACATGTCATTTATCTGCTTGGGTCTGCTAATTATTTTCTTCCAGTCACATGTTGATTGGCAGGTCCTGTCTTGTGCTTGTCCTCTCAGGGTTGCACCCGCGGGCGTCACAGTAATGAGAAGCCTCAGGAGCCTCTGCGGCCGGAGGTGACGTCTGAGAAGGGAGACGTAAAGCAGCGCAGTGGAGAAGAGATTATCTACCAGGGACCCAAATCTGCTGAAGCCCTGGAAAAAGAGAGACCCAGGTAAATTTGCAACTCACACACGCACGCACATCGTGCTCTTTCACCCACCAACACATTGTTCTGAATACAAATTCATTCGTTTTCCTTCTCTGAAGCCCTTTCTTTGTCTCTCTTTTAAAAAGAGAAGTCGAGGTCCTTCTGACTGTTGAATACAAACAGACAGTGACATGTTTTTCGATTCCCTCCTTCTCAGTTCAGAAGAGCCCAAGGTAAAGCTGCAGGTGAAGGTCTCTCCCTCTCTGGCTCAGATCCTGGAGAAAATGGAGATCACTGAGAGGGAGAAGAGAGAGAAGCTAGGTGAGCAATCCCATTATTCCTATTGGTCATCATGCTCAGGATCACCTGCAACACAAGCACACTGCATAAAACAAAACAAAGGTTATTAGAGTGCGTTTTACAAGGAAATACTGTTTCGGTCGTTCTGAAATTTACTAGCAGTTTCTGAGTAAAATAGTTTTTCATTGCAGATTGATACCAATGCAGTGGTTCTTTACTGGTTTTTGCTCCAGAACCCAGATTTTAAATTGGGCATTAATTGACAACCCAACACTAAAGTAAACAAAAATGTCCTTAAAAAGATTCAATGGAATTCATTAGTTTTAAAGATGTATTTATATTAATAAAATAATTTAATATTAATGATATACAAAAAAAAAAAAAAAATCAAATCATAACATAACTTTAATCTTTGAAGACAAAAACTCACAAAATACATTGGGGTCATCAAAAGTAATGTTTATCTATGTTGCAGTCCAACAACAACAAAAAAATAATTAATTAATTATTATTAATATTGAATTCATATTAACATCATACTTTTATATGAATGAAGATTAAAAATATATATAAATAAATTATATTTATCTTTGCAGCCAAAAATACACAAAAATACTATGTTTGGCATAAATCATTTTTATCCATGTTGCAAGTAAGCAAGCAAGCCTGTGTTTAATATAGTAAGGGTTATTACCATTAACTAAAATAAAACTAAAACCATTTTGCTACTTAAAATAAAAGTGAACTGAAATAACATAAAAAACTTCAGCTTTATTTCAGCTTGTTGCCAAGGTCAAATTTTTCATTTAGTTTAGTTTAACTTGAAGTTCCAAAATAACAAAATCTAAATAAGAAAATAAAACTAACAAATAAAAATGGATAAAAACTACTGTATGTAGGCATATATATATAAAAAAAACACTAATGAAAACTAACAAAAGAGACAAAATGGACAGCAAAATTCCTAAAACCTGTGAAAACAGAAAATTTTAAAATAAAATCTGAGTCAAAATATATGTGAAGCAATTTACTCCTCCCTTTTATACATTAATAAGCATATTTATGGATTCTACTTATGCACAACGATATGATTTTAATCATATTATTTTCTTTATCATTGATTTTTGTTGGCAGTCAGCCGCCCGCACTGCTCTAGTTGAGGTCATTTCAGTCCTTGGCAATAGCTGTAGATATGAGGTCCACCTGTCCTGTCCACAATCTGTCACTTTTATAGGACCCCGTAAAAACACGCACAGAAACACTGCTGTCTCTCAGGTCTGCTGTGTTGTCCTGTCACTGGCTGCAGGATTGACCTTAAGACGTAGTGTGACTATTGCAAATTTTGAGATTTTGTTGTCTTATAAAGTTTTTCTTTCTTTGACTTTGTTGTCTTCTCTTCCTACTGTCACCTCTTCCCTCTCGCTGTCCCACAGAGTGCCAAATCGTCGTGGTTGGTGTTAGGTGCAAAAACGCAGGATGCAAAACAGTAGGTACTCATGTAATATGTAAATCACAATGAAACAAATCAGCTTGCTTAAAGGGTTAGTTCACCCAAAAATTAAAATTCTGTCAGTAATTACTCACGCTCATGTTGTTCCAACCCCGTAAGACTTTCGTTCATCTTCAGAACACAAATTAAGATATTTTTGATTAAATCTGAGAGCTGTCTCAGTCCTTCATAAGCTTCTATTGTAATTGAAACCTGCCGGCCCAGAAAGTTAGTAAAAACATTGTTAAAATAGTCCAAGTGACTATAGTGGCTCAATCTTAAGTTTATCAAGTGACGAGAATACTTTTTGTGCGCAAAAACAAACAAAAATGCGCTGTTACACTATGTGAACTCACTCAGAGGCCCACACAGTAGAAGATGAATAGTTGAATAAATGAAAAATGATAAATTATTTTTGTTTGTTTTTGCTCACAAAAAGTATTCTCGTCACTTGATAAACTTAAGGTTGAGCCACTTTAGTCACTTGGACTATTTTAACAATGTTTTTACTAACTTTCTGGGCTGGCAGGTTTCAATTACAATAGAAGCACATGGAGGAGTGAGACAGCTCTCAGACTAAATCATAATATTAACATCAACAATATATACAGTTTAATGCCATCTAGTGGTCCTACTAAAGAATGACACTGCAGCGCTTCATGTACGACAGACAGGCTGCAGAAAATCATTAATAATCTCGAGTGTAACTTTGCTCCTTACAATTAGTTTCCAGATCAGCATTTGAATGTTGAATATTGAATGGAGACAGAGCAGCAGATGAGTAAGAATTAATGACTAAATATCCCTTACTGACCCTAATGCCTTCTTTTAAAGCTTCCCTTCTCTGGGAAAGGATCATCTTTAATGGATTAGTTTGCTGAAATCCCAGAAGTTTATCATGTTAATTACTCAGCAGAGCTGTTCTTTAGTCCAGGTTAAAACTAAACCTGTATCAGCAGGGACGTGTGCTATTCAGAATTGAATGATTTAGCCTACATTTACTTTTTTTTAACTGATGTAAGTGTATTTTTTTTTAAATAATTTGTAATATTTTACTATGAATAAGCAGAAAGCATATTCCAATTTTTTTTTTTGAAATGTCACCAATAGGAATTCAATTTAGGATATTTCATATATTGCACTGAATGTCATTTTATGCACCGTAGAAGAACAGTCTTTGAAATGGATCCATTCCAGACAACACAAGCACAGACTTTAAATGGCAAATTTAATAAATTCCTCTTCCTGTCATTCCATTTCAGTACCCTGTCGGTCATGACAAATTAAATAGAAATGTCATCTCTTGTATTGAAAAGGAGCCAATTCTTTAACCTGACGAGCAGAACGGTTCAGAATTGAAGGTACACTATGGCCCTCTAGCGGTTAAAAACAAAAAGGCATGCATTTTTCGGAAGAACAGTGTTGGCTCTGCGTGACTGTGCGGATGAATATGGTCATCCTACTGCTCATAAAACATTCAATATGTGGCTAAAAAGATATAACCAGTTTAGATGGAAAGGATATCAAGAAAGATGCTGTAGCCATATCTATTAATAGACATGGTGGTAAGCTAGGGGAGAGCGGGGCACAACGTAACGCTTTTTGACTTTCTCAGTTTGTGTAAATCTACTTAGGGTTTGATGGGGGAGGATAGAATGGAAGTGAAATGTGACAACATGCCCCATAGGTGGGGTACATTGTAACATGTGAGGGGCACATTGTAACATCACCATATGACAGCTTAAAATGCTAACTGATCTAATAAAAAATATACTAGTCAAACCAAAATATTTTCTTAATAAAATACAATTATTAACTTTTTCATATAAAATAATGGCATTTTTTAATAATTAAAAATAAACACATTTTTGAGTTTGACAAACACACTGTAAAACACAGCTATACAGCATAGTTCAAAACATAATAATAATTTAATAATTTCTGAACATTGACATTGTTTTTATGAATTAACGAGTTAATTATCTCAGAATTACGAGATAATTTTTCATGGAAAAAAGTTTTTGCTCTGTTTTACTGAATTAATGACTTGACTCATTAATTCATAAAAACAGAGTGAAAAAAATGTTTTTCAAGAAAAATGTATCATAATTCTGAGATAATTAACTCGTTAATTCATAAAAACAGAGCAAAAACTTTTTTTCATGAAAAAATATCTCGTAATTCTGAGATAATTAACTCGTTAATTCAGAAAAACAGAGTAGATTTTTTTTTTCTTTAAGTGAATGCAATACGCTTCCGTAACTACCACACCATAAACTTGTCGAAGTAGCCGAATCAATTTACTTATCTATTTATAGATATGATGAGACACACATGGGCAAATGACGGATGTACGCAATTTCCCGCGAAAACCATCCCGCTGTGTTTAAAATATAAACACTTAGAATAGGCGCATATAGTGAATCAAGTGAACGACAAAAACACGTTTTGGAAGAAATATTGATGATGTATAGACTCATTCAATTTAGTTAATTAAAAAAAAAAAAAAAAGTTACATACTAGTGTACCTTTAATGACATATTGTTGGTTCTCTCAGACTAATGGTGTTTTTTCCTTTATCCACCGAAACAGACACATATAGCTCTATTACAGCTTCCTGCTCTTTTATATATTTGGAAGAGTAGAAAAATGAGTGTATTTTCAGGCGTGAAGGCAGTAAACGGATGACACAGAGCTTGTGCTGAGTTTAGGAGCATCAGCACTTTAAAGTTTTCCTTTTGTAAATATGCTGAGTTACTGACTATGAGTGTTTCTCTGGAGCGATGGAGAGATTTCTTTAGTGTGTGGTGGTGTGAGGTACATCTGTGTGTTTTGAGTAGCTGTTCAAACGCTTGTGTGTGTGTGTGTGTGTGTTCAGACTTACCAGGGTCCAGAGACTGAAGCAGAGATCTGCTTACATCATCCCGGGGCCCCTGTCTTCCACGAAGGGTAAGAAAACTGCAGCATTTGAGTCTTTATTTGGAAACAGGTATACTTATCTTCAAACAGACAAATAGTTCCTGTATCTGTTAAAAATACTACAGTACAAGCATGGCCTGTTTTCATAAAGCTTTTCTCAGAGAACCAATTTGGATTCAGATCCACATGTGCAGTCCATTTCAACAATATATCATGATACGATCACACAAAAGTGCTCTTACTATCAGTACTTATGAGATGAGAGGGGAAATGCATTATAATTCACATCTGCTGTTCATTGTCTAGATACAAATACTGGAACTGCTGTTGCATAAAAACCACGGACTTCAACGCCTTCCTGGATCAGAAGGGCTGCACAGCAGGAAAACACTGCTGGATCCCCAAAAATGTAAGAGCTTAGGCTTTTTATGATCACTGGATAGTTGTTTACATCGACACACGTCGTATAATCAGGAAACAACCAACTAACCCTCTCTGGAAAAATGTATTTACTATCTGTACTATATGTTTTGTTTGTGTTTGGTATGAAGGACAAAAAGAAAGTGGCTTGCCGGCACGATTGGCACCAAACAGGAAACCAGGTCGTGGTCACAATCTACGCCAAGAACTCCAGTCCAGAGCATTCCTATGTGGAGGCAAACCGCACAGTGGTGAGTTCAAATGAACCCTTAAAAACATGAATGAATCTGTGTGTCTGTCCATCAATACATGTGTCTGTCTTTTCCATCAATCTGCAGTTAACATGCCACATTCAGTTTGAGGGTGACAAAGTGTTTCACAAGGACATCCACTTATGGGGGGTAAGATTGCTCTACATTTAAGATTGCTCTACATTCACAGTCTGTTATGATTTAACAATGACAATTTCATTTAGCAATATTATCTCTATCTATCTATCTATCTATCTATCTATCTATCTATCTATCTATCTATCTATCTATCTATCTATCTATCTATCTATCTATCTATCTATCTATCTATCTATCTATCTATCTATCTATCTATCTATCTATCTATCTATCTATCTATCTATCTATCTATCTATCTATCTATCTATCTCAGGAACGTCTGTCTGTTAATCGAATATCTCTCGAACCGTTTGTCCGATGGATTTTAAACTTGACAGGTGTCTTGCTATGGGCACGAGTAAGTGCAGTGTCGAGTTTGACGTTGTTTGGATTATAAATGCAAAATATATCGTTAAATATATCGGTGAAAGAAGCACACATTGAAGTTGTGGCTTAAAAATAAACATTCTGACATTAGAGATGGTTGTGGTTTAAAAATTGTGGTTTAAAAGTAAACACTCTGTCAGCTAAACACGAAGTCAGCTACACTGTTTACTTCTGAATATTGTAGTTATTCAGAAGTAGTTAGTTGTCAGTAGTTAGTTATATGAAGTTCAATTTTCCATATTTATTGTATCTCAGTATCAATATTTGCTTTCAACCATGCACAAATAAAAATGTCACTGAACTTTTGCTGTGTAATTGTAACAATAAGCACTTTTTTTTAACACACCAAACCAACAACTACTAAAAACACACACAAAAACGTATTCGCATATCTCTCGAACCGTTAGTTCGATGGATTTACAGGTGTCTTGCTACGGGCACGAGTAAGTGCAGTGCCGAGTTTGACGTTGTTTGGATTATAAATGCAAAAGATATTAAATATATTGTCTTTTGCCGCTCTAGCCGCTGGCCACTCCCCCTCCACACTGCACACTGAGTGGCCACTCCCCCTCCACACTGAGTGGCCACTCCCCCTCCACACTGCACACTGAGTGGCCACTCCCCCTCCACACTGAGTGGCCCCTCCCCCTCCACACTGCACACTGAGTGGCCCCTCCACACTGCACACTGAGTGGCCACTCCCCCTCCACACTGCACACTGAGTGGGCACTCCCCCTCCACACTCCACACTGAGTGGCCACTCCCCCTCCAAGCCTCTCCCCGTCCACAATCCACACTGAGTGGCCACTCCTCCTCCACACTGCACACTCCACACTGAGTGGCCACTCCCCCTCCAAGCCTCTCCCCGTCCACAATCCACACTGAGTGGCCACTCCCCCTCCACACTCCACACTGAGTGGCCACTCCCCCTCCACACTGCACACTGAGTGGGCACTCCCCCTCCACACTCCACACTGAGTGGGCACTCCCCCTCCACACTCCACACTGAGTGGCCACTCCCCCTCCAAGCCTCTCCCCCTCCACGCTCCACACTGAGTGGCCACTCCCCCTCCACACTGCACACTGAGTGGGCACTCCCCCTCCACACTGCACACTGAGTGGGCACTCCCCCTCCACACTCCACACTGAGTGGGCACTTCCCCTCCACACTGCACACTGAGTGGCCACTCCCCCTCCACACTGCACACTGAGTGGGCACTCCCCCTCCACACTGCACACTGAGTGGGCACTCCCCCTCCACACTGCACACTGAGTGGGCACTCCCCCTCCACACTGCACACTGAGTGGCCACTCCCCCTCCACACTGAGTGGCCACTCCCCCTCCACACTGCACACTGAGTGGCCACTCCCCCTCCACACTACTCCCCCTCCACACTGCACACTGAGTGACCACTCCCCCTCCACACTGCACACTGAGTGGCCACTTCCCCTCCACACTGCAAACTGAGTGACCACTCCCCCTCCACACTGCACACTGAGTGGCCACTCCCCTCCACACTGCACACTGAGTGGCCACTCCCCCTCCACACTGCAAACTGAGTGACCACTCCCCCTCCACACTCCACACTGAGTGGCCACTCCCCCTCCACACTGCACACTGAGTGGGCACTCCCCCTCCACACTGCACACTGAGTGGCCACTCCCCCTCCACACTGCACACTGAGTGGCCACTCCCCCTCCACACTCCACACTGAGTGGCCACTCCCCCTCCAAGCCTCTCCCCCTCCACACTCCACACTGAGTGGCCACTCCCCCTCCACACTGCACACTGAGTGGGCACTCCCCCTCCACACTGCACACTGAGTGGGCACTCCCCCTCCACACTCCACACTGAGTGGGCACTTCCCCTCCACACTGCACACTGAGTGGCCACTCCCCCTCCACACTGCACACTGAGTGGGCACTCCCCCTCCACACTGCACACTGAGTGGGCACTCCCCCTCCACACTGCACACTGAGTGGGCACTCCCCCTCCACACTGCACACTGAGTGGCCACTCCCCCTCCACACTGAGTGGCCACTCCCCCTCCACACTGCACACTGAGTGGCCACTCCCCCTCCACACTACTCCCCCTCCACACTGCACACTGAGTGGCCACTTCCCCTCCACACTGCAAACTGAGTGACCACTCCCCCTCCACACTGCACACTGAGTGGCCACTCCCCTCCACACTGCACACTGAGTGGCCACTCCCCCTCCACACTGCAAACTGAGTGACCACTCCCCCTCCACACTCCACACTGAGTGGCCACTCCCCCTCCACACTGCACACTGAGTGGGCACTCCCCCTCCACACTGCACACTGAGTGGCCACTCCCCCTCCACACTGCACACTGAGTGGCCACTCCCCCTCCACACTGCAAACTGAGTGACCACTCCCCCTCCACACTCCACACTGAGTGACCACTCCCCCTCCACACTCCACACTGAGTGGCCACTCCCCCTCCACACTGCACACTGAGTGGGCACTCCCCCTCCACACTGCACACTGAGTGGGCACTCCCCCTCCACACTCCACACTGAGTGGGCACTCCCCCTCCACACTGCACACTGAGTGGCCACTCCCCCTCCACACTGCACACTGAGTGGGCACTCCCCCTCCACACTGCACACTGAGTGGGCACTCCCCCTCCACACTGCACACTGAGTGGGCACTCCCCCTCCACACTGCACACTGAGTGGGCACTCCCCCTCCACACTGCACACTGAGTGGGCACTCCCCCTCCACACTGCACACTGAGTGGCCACTCCCCCTCCACACTGAGTGGCCACTCCCCCTCCACACTGCACACTGAGTGGCCACTCCCCCTCCACACTACTCCCCCTCCACACTGCACACTGAGTGACCACTCCCGCTCCACACTGCACACTGAGTGGCCACTTCCCCTCCACACTGCAAACTGAGTGACCACTCCCCCTCCACACTGCACACTGAGTGGCCACTCCCCCTCCACACTGAGTGGCCACTCCCCTCCACACTGCACACTGAGTGGCCACTCCCCCTCCACACTGCAAACTGAGTGACCACTCCCCCTCCACACTCCACACTGAGTGGCCACTCCCCCTCCACACTGCACACTGAGTGGGCACTCCCCCTCCACACTCCACACTGAGTGGCCACTCCCCCTCCACGCTCCACACTGAGTGGCCACTCCCCCTCCACACTGCACACTGAGTGGCCACTCCCCCTCCACACTGCACACTGAGTGGCCACTTCCCCTCCACACTGCAAACTGAGTGACCACTCCCCCTCCACACTGCACACTGAGTGGCCACTCCCCCTCCACACTGAGTGGGCACTCCCCCTCCACACTGCACACTGAGTGGGCACTCCCCCTCCACACTGCACACTGAGTGGCCACTCCCCCTCCACACTGCACACTGAGTGGCCACTCCCCCTCCACACTGAGTGGCCACTCCCCCTCCACACTGCACACTGAGTGGCCACTCCCCCTCCACACTACTCCCCCTCCACACTGCACACTGAGTGACCACTCCCGCTCCACACTGCACACTGAGTGGCCACTTCCCCTCCACACTGCAAACTGAGTGACCACTCCCCCTCCACACTGCACACTGAGTGGCCACTCCCCCTCCACACTGAGTGGCCACTCCCCTCCACACTGCACACTGAGTGGCCACTCCCCCTCCACACTGCAAACTGAGTGACCACTCCCCCTCCACACTCCACACTGAGTGGCCACTCCCCCTCCACACTGCACACTGAGTGGGCACTCCCCCTCCACACTCCACACTGAGTGGCCACTCCCCCTCCAAGCCTCTCCCCCTCCACGCTCCACACTGAGTGGCCACTCCCCCTCCACACTGCACACTGAGTGGCCACTCCCCCTCCACACTGCACACTGAGTGGCCACTTCCCCTCCACACTGCAAACTGAGTGACCACTCCCCCTCCACACTGCACACTGAGTGGCCACTCCCCCTCCACACTGAGTGGCCACTCCCCTCCACACTGCACACTGAGTGGCCACTCCCCTCCACACTGCACACTGAGTGGCCACTCCCCCTCCACACTGCAAACTGAGTGACCACTCCCCCTCCACACTCCACACTGAGTGGCCACTCCCCCTCCACACTGCACACTGAGTGGGCACCCCCCCTCCACACTCCACACTGAGTGGCCACTCCCCCTCCAAGCCTCTCCCCCTCCACGCTCCACACTGAGTGGCCACTCCCCCTCCACACTGCACACTGAGTGGCCACTCCCCCTCCACACTGCACACTGAGTGGCCACTCCCCCTCCACACTGCACACTGAGTGGGCACTCCCCCTCCACACTGCACACTGAGTGGGCACTCCCCCTCCACACTCCACACTGAGTGGGCACTCCCCCTCCACACTCCACACTGAGTGGGCACTCCCCCTCCACACTGCACACTGAGTGGCCACTCCCCCTCCACACTGCACACTGAGTGGGCACTCCCCCTCCACACTGCACACTGAGTGGGCACTCCCCCTCCACACTGCACACTGAGTGGGCACTCCCCCTCCACACTGCACACTGAGTGGGCACTCCCCCTCCACACTGCACACTGAGTGGGCACTCCCCCTCCACACTGCACACTGAGTGGCCACTCCCCCTCCACACTGCACACTGAGTAGCCACTCCCCCTCCACACTACTCCCCCTCCACACTGCACACTGAGTGACCACTCCCCCTCCACACTGCACACTGAGTGGCCACTTCCCCTCCACACTGCAAACTGAGTGACCACTCCCCCTCCACACTGCACACTGAGTGGCCACTCCCCCTCCACACTGAGTGGCCACTCCCCCTCCACACTGCACACTGAGTGGCCACTCCCCCTCCACACTGCAAACTGAGTGACCACTCCCCCTCCACACTGCACACTGAGTGGCCACTCCCCCTCCACACTGCACACTGAGTGACCACACCCCCTCCACACTGCACACTGAGTGGCCACTCCCCCTCCACACTGCAAACTGAGTGACCACTCCCCCTTCACACTCCACACTGAGTGGCCACTCCCCCTCCACACTGCACACTGAGTGGCCACTCCCCCTCCACACTGCACACTGAGTGACCACTCCCCCTCCACACTGCACACTGAGTGGCCACTCCCCCTCCACACTGCAAACTGAGTGACCACTCCCCCTCCACACTCCACACTGAGTGGCCACTCCCCCTCCACACTGCAAACTGAGTGACCACTCCCCCTCCACACTGCACACTGAGTGGCCACTCCCCCTCCACACTGCACACTGAGTGACCACTCCCCCTCCACACTGCACACTGAGTGGCCACTCCCCCTCCACACTGCACACTGAGTGGCCACTCCCCCTCCACACTGCACACTGAGTGACCACTCCCCCTGCACACTGAGTGGCCACTCCCCCTCCACACTGCAAACTGAGTGACCACTCCCCCTCCACACTCCACACTGAGTGGCCACTCCCCCTCCACACTGAGTGGCCACTCCCCCTCCACACTGCACACTGAGTGACCACTCCCCCTCCACACTGCACACTGAGTGGCCACTCCCCCTCCACACTGTACACTGAGTGGCCACTCCCCCTCCACACTGCAAACTGAGTGACCACTCCCCAAAATAAACATTCTGACATAGAGAGTTGTGGTTTAAAAATATATGAATAGTTTGAATATATGAATAGAAAACACTGAGTCAGCCACACCATTTGCTTCTGAAGTAAAAAAGTAGCGATTCTTTTCGAGAAATGTAGCGATTCTTTTCAAGGTTGTTATTATACATTACAATGTAATTATACGTTTATTACAATGTAATTCTACATTTATTACAGTTTATACATTACAATGTAATTATACTTTTATTACAATGTAAATATACATTTATTACAGTATTATACATTTGTTACATTATTATTATTATTATACATTAGTTACATTATTATTATTATTATACATTAGTTACATTATTATTATTATACATTTGTTACATTATTCTTTTTGAAAAAGTAGCAATTCTTTTAAAAAAGTAACGATTCTTTTTGGAAAAAGTAGCGATTCTTTTTGAGAAAATGTAATTATACATTTATTGCAATGTAATTATACGTTTATTACAATGTAATTATACATTTATTGCAATGTAATTATACATTTATTGCAGTGTTATTATACATTTGTTAGATTGTTATTTTGTTACATTATTCTTTTTGAAAAAAGTAGCGATTTTTTTTGAAAAAATTAGCGATTCTTTTTGAAAAAAGTAGTGTAAAAAATTTAATTATACATTTGTTAGTCTTATTATATATTTATTACAATGTAATTATACATGTATTACAATGTAATTATACGTTTATTACAATGTAATTATACGCTTATTGCAATGTATTATACATTTATTACAGTGTTTAATATACATTTTTTACAATGTAATTATACATTTATTACAGTGTTATACATTTGTTACATTATTATTATTATTATTATACATTTGTTACATTATTATTTTGTTACATTCTTTTTGAAAAAAGTAGCGATTCATTTTTGAAAAAGTAGTGATTCATTTTTGAAAAAGTGGTGATTCTTTTTGAAAAAAGTTTTTTTTTTTTTTAAAGTAGCGTTTCTTTCTGAAAAAAGTAGCGATTCTTTTTGAAAAAAGTGGTCATTCTTTTGAAAAAGTAGCGATTCTTTCTGAAAAAAGTAGCGATTCTTTTTGAAAAAAGTGGCGATTCTTTTTGAAAAAAGTGGCGATTCTTTTTGAAAAAAGTGGCGATTCTTTTTGAAAAAAGTGGCGATTCTTTTTGAAAAAAGTAGCGATTCTTTTTGAAAAAGTACCGAATCACTTTTGAAAAAGTAGCAATTCATTTTTGAAAAAGTAGCGATTCACTTAGATGGCAAAAGTTGAGTGATCCTTCAGTGATTGTCGGACACGACTGAATAAATTCAAGGTGCATATCCTCAATATGCAAAACTGTTTGTCTTTTACCATAAGTGAGTTTCGTTTAAATGTCAATAAAGGATTTGAACTCAAATTCCACTCAAACCAGCAACAGATAAAGGAGCAAACGATCATCTAAATCAGACTGTACTTTGGGGTTTTGTGATCATGAAACATCAAACCAAGATTAAGGTATCAAACTGACGTATCAGAGGTGAATATACAAACCAAAATTTATTCAGACACCTTCAACATTTCTCACATTATCACAGTTTATTCTCTATAGTTTAGAAAATGGTAATAAAATATGACAAGAACTCCGAGTTATCCAATCAGTTGATATTTCACTGGTTTTGGCCATATCTGTTAGACTGTCTCACAAAATGAATTAGGTTGAATCGCTGTCAGCTGTTAAATTTAAGTACACAATTAGATAATACCAATTTAAGTCAACCAATTACCAAGCAATGCTTAATTTTGTTCAGTCTGTGGTGTAAAAACGTGGCATTAGCAATTTAAGAAAAAACACTTAAGCAAAACATGGTCAGGTCAAAGTGTCTGAATAATGTTTGGTCCCAAATTTGAATACATTTTACTGGTAGTCCACTGTATGAAGAATTTCTGAGTATTATAAGTCACGGTTTACTTTATTTAGCTATCCTCACTTACATAAATGAACTATAATGTCCTGCACCCATGTTAAATATGGTCTGAAAAATCCACAGAAAGGTTTGGAAATTTGAGTATGGAAAAAAAAAACATTTTTCAATTTCAAAATACCATTTAAGTTAACAATAACAACACGGGTATACGTTTTTTTTTTTTAAATCCGTGAATGCAGTCAATCTGACATGTGTGTCCACTGCTGGTGTCTTAGGTGATCGACGAGAAGAGCAGTTTTGTGAACATGGTGCCCTCTAAAGTGGAGGTGACCATGCAGAAGGCTCATGCTGTAGCCTGGGGAAAACTTGAGGACCCCAAACACAAACCAGAGCCAGAGGTCACCAATGACATGAACAACACAGAACAGGAAAACGTCAAACCCGACTGGTACATCTCAGATGACGACATCAGTGAGTCTGACTGGGAAGATGATGATGAGGAAGAGGAGGACAAGAAAGAGAGTGAGGAGAAAAAAGAACAACAGGAAGATGGACCCCCTGAGCTAGAAGAGCCTGCTGATGTCCCTCCAGTAAAATGAACATTTATTCTGCAGTGCAATGGTTATGTATTTCTGAAGTTATGCATTTGTTTACACAACACTTGATAGATTTATACAAATGTGGGGCTGCCTCTTTCATGCATTTAGCCTTAAAAAAAAAAAAAGTAAATAGTTTTTCACATTGTTTTAGTCTGCTAAAATAAATAAGAGAAGTCTTAAAACTTGTATTCTCCAGTTGTGCACAGTTTCATGGAGAGTTTGAAAATACACACTACTGTTCAAATGTTTGGGGTTGGTACGATTGTTTTAATGTTTTGAAATAAGTATTTTATGCTCCTCAAGGCTGCATTTGTTTGATCCACACACAAAAAAAATATATATATTGTGAAAATTTTTAATTTAAAATAGCTGTTTTGTACTTTTGATACAAAATATTTTAAAATGTAATTTATTCCTGTGATGTCAAATCTGAATTTTTAGCATCATTACTCCAGTCTTTAGTGTCACATGATCCTTCAGAAATCTTTCTAATATGCTGATGTGGGCAATTTTGAAAACAGATTTTTGTGGATGACGTCATACGTTTTTTTCAGTGTTCTTTGATGAATAGAAAGTTCACAAGCACAGCATTTATTTGAAAAATACTTTTGTAACAATGTAATTTAAAGCATCTTTGCTGAATACAAGTACACACGGTCTTTCAACAACAACAACAACTAAAAAAATGACTGACCCCAAAGCATTACTGTGGATTCAGTGCAGATTTTCAGCGCTGACAAAGTATCTTCTATATTGCACTGAAAACCATAAGAGCGGTAAACCATCACAGCTTAGATGAAGTATATTCTGTGAAATCATGACAAGAAAGTGCAAGATTTCAAACAGCAATGGCCACACTTTATTTTTGCGTCAAGTCAACAGCAACAATCCTGAAGTAGGTGATTGCAGTCAGACAGGGTCTAAGGCCATGGAAGCTTGACTGCAACCCATATGGCAAAAAATATTTTAAATAAAAAGGATAAATAATACATCTTAAAAGTAAACAGTAGTCTTGACGATGAAGAGGATTGGTACCAGCAAATAAAAAGTCAATCTCTTCTGTTTTGGTTCTTTTTCTCTGTTCATAAAATCATTGTCTTCTGCTTGTACCTGATAGCCACACTCATAATCGATGTGCTGATACGTGGAGATGGTCGAGTAATGCGTTTGCTGTGTCAATCCAAACTGAACAGCACACAGCAACAGTTCATCACAGATGTGAAACTTTAAAACAAAGACATGCAAAACAATAATAAAAAAATACAGTTCAGCTTTTAGGGGCACAATCAGCACCTTGACTTCAAATCAATACCACATTTGCAATGTCTATGTGTGTTTTTGTTTTTACAGAGCAACACTGTTAGACTTTGGCTCATAACTATCAAGGAAACAATTAAGTTGTCTAGTATTGTGTATATTAGTTTCTTTTAATGGACAAACTGTACCATTGGAGTGTGTTGATAAATACTGCTTGAGAACCATACCATATATTAGTCAAGTTCAAGTTTTGCTTTACCTCATGTATTCCATATACAGACCGACCCCTGAAAAGGGGCGACAGTTGAATAACATTCATAAGTTTGGTTATATACTGCCTTATATGTAACATCTCATAGGTTTTCCATGAATGAGATACCAGTTTTCATATGATAAAACAGAACACACAACCTTTTTACTTAGCCTCTTTTAAACATTTGTTTTCTATATTAAAGTGCAAGGCGAGATAAAATACATCTTGAAATGTACGACATACAGCATCACTTTCTTTCACAAGATTTCCCTGCAGAAAAAAGTAAAGAAACAGCTCACTGTAAAACCACTGCGCTCCATTTACTCACTTGGCACAAGAGTTACGGTACTGAAGCTTCTAGAACAACGGCTCAATTGACACTAGTGATACACCATCACGGCTTGGCTGACGATCTGAGAGTAAAAAGAAAAAAAATAGACCTTTTTCCTGCATAAGGGCATGAAAGGCATGCAGAAACTGAGATGGTCTTTGATAGAGACAGAGACTAGATGCAGATTAACTATTCAGCCAGTTTGACGAATAATACAGGTCCACCATACATTCATCATCAGGATATTCCTTTTTTTTTTTTTTGCATGTGTTAAATTGTCTTCATTTCAGTACAATTGTTTTGTTTGATTTAGTTTGTTCCTTTCTTGTTGTTCAGGCGGCGAAAGGACGGGGTCTTTTTTTGTTTCCCTTTGGAGAGTGAAAAAAAGTTTATAGTTTGTGTCTGACGGCTGGAATACTAAGTAGCAAGATAATAAAATAAGATGAAAAAAAAAAAAAAAGAACGGATTTGGTCATGCATGGGAGTGGCGTTGTTGAAAACAGAGAGAGATGGTGGACGGTCCACTTCCTACTCCCTGATGCTGAGCATTTCCCATGACACCATCCGCAGGCAGAGAAGAAACAAACAGAAGCACAGTAATGCAGTGCCGGGCCAGGCCACGCCCCTCCAAAAAAAGCTCACAAACATGTATCTGCACAGGTGTTCTCCCGCCCTCCCTCACTGGGCGTAAAGCAGCATCCCGTGTCCTCACAGTTGAGCTGCAACAAACCACTTCAGCTCTTCAGTTGCCTCCAGGATCCACATCATACACCCCGCCTTTATTATCCCAAGATCCTGAGTGGTGCAAACAGATGTATTAAGATTAAGTTTGTGAGTTGAATTTGATTATTTAATATGATTCATTTTTTTTTCAATTAAAACAATTAATTATGCATCTGAACCATCTGTAAATGGCACAAGGAATATTATGCAAAACATATTTGGTATATGAGATGATTAGAAATAATTAGTTCACAACCAGGCCAAGCAACTGGCACTTAGTATGACATGGGCGAGCCACATATTACACTACACTGCAGCTGGATATGAGTGTACTGACAGTAATTGACCATGACGGTGAGATTATGAGGCTGGTTAATACTGTGTTTCTGCTAGTGATTGTGTCTGTTACCTGACAGAGAGCTGCTGGACCGCTGCTTATGCAGCCTGTCTCTCTCTTTCTTGCCCTTGGGCATGATTTTCAGCTTCATACTGCTTTTCACCAACACACGGGACGGGTCCTAGAGTGAAACCAAGAACGGGGAGTCAAGAACAAGGAGTCTAAAGAGCAGGGGCGGTTCTAGGGTCAGTGGATATTCGGGGCTTTAGCCCAGACTTCAGTGGATGCAAACTGAGCCATCCTTTGATTTTAATATTATAATAATAGACTATTATATAACAATTCGAAAAGCAGCATTTTAAGTTATTAGTCCATTTAAATGAGTCTTTCTAAAGTAGATGTAAAAGTAAAAATGACCAAAGTTTGCGAAAATAAAAGAGAGCTTGTGTTTTAAGCAATATATTCTGCCTTCTATAATTCACTGCTTTTACGTATGTCAGTGACATGGAGCAATACATTCCTGGATACACTGCCACATTTAAATGCAGTTGTCCCAATTTGCACTGTGTACTGGCCATTCCTCTTAGCAGCATGAAAAATAAAGCATTTGTTAAAATTGTGAATTGATTATATTCAGAATCTGAAGCTGTCAATCATTTCAGCATGATTCTTCTGCATTCTCACAAAATATTTTTTTACAAAGAAACTGACTACATTGCAGTGAATCTTTTATTTGCAACTACAGGTTATTGGCTATAATGATTCTGACATGTTTGCGAAAGTGTAGAACTCAATGAGCTTGTGTTAAACGAATCTTTGGCGCAGTGACTCATTTAAACGGCCTCTGATTGGCCATTGTGTTCAATAAACATGTCTGTGATTGGCTACAATGCTCAACGCTGCAAAATCACATTCAAAGTAGCAACCCTTAATGCAAAGGGAGAAAATATAATGCTGTAATCTGTATTTTTTTAAGATTAGGTAATTAGGCACGATTAGGCAGCTGTAATCATATTTACAAATATTTTTCAGCTCTATGAGAAAGACAAGGAAAACAAAACATTCAGGGCTTTACTAAAAACATTGTCTTGCCCTTGTCCTAATACTGACTAGTATTGACTCCATCAGGAATTGTGATTTAAACAAAAGAGTTGAAATCACACCATATCTAAACAACTTCTCTTTGGAGAAAATTAATGTATTTTTTTACTTTCAGAATCCAACTATTGTGCTCTACAGAAAAAGTAATGCAAACTAAAATGAAACTCCACTGGAGACTAAAGAGATGAATGTGGAGTAGGACAAACCTCCTCAGAGCAGTGCATGCTGGGACAGATCCAGTGAATGTCCTCCAGCTTGTGTAACTCAGCGCCGAGACTATCCACTGTGGAAAGAAGCTCCTCTTTTTGAGAAGACTCCAACTGCTACATACACACATATACACAGAAAATGTCTTTATCATATTTCATACAGAATTACTAGTGTATGAGAACAGGCCAGAGAAAGTGAGAGCGAGACAGTGAAGCCGCTCACCAGCAGTTTTCCCTCAAGCAGCATCTTGGTCTCTTGCTGGAGAACTTTACTGCTGTTGACAATGTCTACAGCAGTGCTGCGACTCAAAACCTGCAGAGAAACACACACACAATCACAGCTCAAGTTCAGTTTGACTTTCTGTCAGACTCTTGCTGTTCAGTGATTAACACTCAGTTATTCTTCTATTCGCTGGTCAATGGAGGTCCCGTGGAGAACAGCATGAGAAGCTCAAAGCTGAACATGCTGAAAGCCACAGCAGGACGGACGGAGACTGAAAGGTTCAGTTGTTAACCTTTAAAGGAGAGCTAGACTGAACTGATCCCCATCACATCACTCACTGATATGAACTAAGAATATATATAGAGGGCTTCACACAGAAAATATGACTATTTTTTTTTTTTCTAAGAGCATTCGTGACCTTAATTTATTTGTAATTGCTTCCTTGCTTCCACTGAAGCTCAAGATGCTCTTTGGATCATTCTCAAATCATGCTGGAGAACAGGATCATCAGGTTTTACACAAATGTGTGGAGTTCACATAACTCAAGTGATGTGAGATATATATATATATATTCACAAAATGTTGTGAATTCAGATAACGCATTAACTTATTTTTTTAGAAACTTTTACCATCTACTGTGTATTTTGCATCTAGGTGATTTATCAGAAATGTTGAACTTGATGATAATTCAATTCTGCCATACAAACAGAATGAAGCAAATGGAATGAATAAATTCGTTAAGTGTGTTAAATGTAGTTGTTAAATATATTAGTCACAAGTGTGTTGTGCTCACCTCAGGGCTGGAGGGTTTGGAGGGGAAGGCTTCACTCAGTACCGCAGCACTGGCATTGACAGAATGAGCTAATTCCTGCTCCACCACTTTATGAGTCTTTGCCACTTCCCGGATCCTACAAGACATGATAACCACACATTCAGCAGCAGCATAAAACATATTTTCCCATCCATATACACGCCCTTTAATACATGGTTTTAAAATGTAATTGTGAATCTAAAATTACTTGTGAAGTACAAGGTACAAAGTGTACAAAGGTACTTGTGAAGTACAAGGAAGTGTCACATTTCTAAGAATTATAAGTTACAGTTATGGGTGCGGTTTCAAGGTAAAACGGACAGTTCATTTCTTTAATAGTCCTCAAATAGTTATGAAATAGCTTCTCACATACATATGCATTGATATTCACTGTGATGTGACATTGCTGTTGGGTTACAAACTATTTTTGTGTAGGTGTCATAGACACACCTGTAGATGAGTGAGTCTGCCACTAAGCCAAGCTGCTGAACCTGTGCGCATTCCTCCTCCGTCAGATACTCCATGGACTGCTGGGAGTTCAGTCGGGGCCGGGCCGGGCGGCTGTCTCCTTTCCGCTTGTCTTCCCACGATTTCAGCGTGCTCTCGAATGCCTTGAGTCACAGCAACATACAATGTTGACAGAATGCAGAGCATCTACACTAAAGTTGAGTACAATGGCCTAGTTACTAGCCTCTGTCAGTGATAACAATTAGAATTAGTTTCTTGAGCACTAAATCAACATATTAGAATGACTTCTGAAGGATCATGTAACACTAGCTACATTACATGGATTGGATTTTGTTTGAATCCAAACATAGTGTTTACATGAACGCTAAATAAAGTGATCGGGTTTGGTTTGTGTGCAGATTTGATCTTTTTGACATGCGCACACTGCAAGAATATACAGTTTCCAGCTGTTGTTGCATACTAACCATCCTCCTTTTCTTTGTTATAAAAAGCAGACTTAATATTTATCTGTTTCAGGTCCTAATTAGGAGATGACAAGCACATGAAGCTTTGTGCTGTGCTGCTTATATTTATCAAGCAGTAAAAACACCCCTTCCTGAGCCCAAAACAAGGCGTCTGTGGATGAGAGTCCGAAGCAAGGACTGTCCTGCAGCACTTCACAGCCGATGAGTGGAAGGAGAATTTTAGAATGACTTGATACTTGATAACATGGTCTGTCTGAATACTCGATTCTGATTGGCTGGAAGGTGTCCAATAAAACCGTTTAATGCACAGGTAGTTCCAAGTCAGTTTAGTCACCGTTCTATATTAATGCACTGTTTTCATTGAAGCGCACACATACATACGTCAATCATTCACAGAGAGCGGAGTTCGCGCTGCGCACACACACACATGGAGTACAGAAACTTGTCAAGAAACTTGCTGCCCTGCAACTTTTAGTTATAAAATAGCTTCACTACTTAATTGTTACATTATATTTCTCAGCAACGAGGGGGTTACATCGCTATTTTGAAGTAATTAAACTCACAGTTACTTTGTTAATAGAGAGAGAGAGAGAGAGAGAGAGAGAGAGAGAGAGAGAGAGAGAGAGAGAGAGAGAGAGAGAGAGAGAGATACGCTAAACAGACGCAGGTACGCATATCTCATCTGTGTATCTCTCTGTGTCTCTCTGTATGTCTCTCTCTATCTCTCTCTCTCTCTCTATCTCTCTCTCTCTCTCTCTCTCTCTCTCTCTCTCTCTCTCTCTCTCTCTCTCTCTCTCTCTCTCTCTCTCTCTCTCTCTCGATAATTAATTAAACTAAATGCAATTCATTAATTCAAATTAATGAATGAAAGCAGCCATATCACCCTGTAACCCAAGACTGGTTGCCCACTGAAGCTAAGCGGGGCTGAGCCTGGTTAGTACCTGGATGGGAGACCTTCTGGGAAAACCAGGTTGCTGCTGGAAGAGGTGTTAGTGAGGCCAGCAGGGGGTGCTCTCCCTGTGGTCTGTGTGGGTCCTAACGCCCCAGTATAGTGACGGGGACACTATACTGTCAAAGAGCACCGTCCTTCGGATGAGACGTTAAACCGAGGCCCTGACTCTCTGTGGTCATTAAAAATCCCAGGATGTCTTTCGAAAGAGTAGGGGTGTAACCCCGGCATCCTGGCCAAATTTGCCCAGTGGCCTCTGTCCATCGTGGCCACCTAATCATCCCTATATACTAATTGGCTTTATCACTCTGTCTCCTCTCCACCAGTAAGCTGGTGTGTGGTGGGCGTTCTGGCGCAATATGGCTGCCGTCGCATCATCCAGGTGGATGCTGCACATTGGTGGTGGTTGAGGAGATTCCCCCTTCTATGTGAAGCGCTTTGAGTGCCTAGAAAAGCGCTATATAAATGTAATGAATTATTATTATAAATAAATGTAATCTTACCGCACTACTTTATCTCTGTGTCTGATTCAAAGCGGGCAGAATGCTAGATCTAACATAACTGACGAAAATAACCGTCAGTTTTACCCTTCTGGTCAAATATTGAGCTGCAAACATCAATAACAGCTTAAATTGTCAGTGCTGGCAAATGACCATGGTATAAGCGTGATAATCCACGGCTAGCTGTGAATTAAACAATTTTAATGCACTTCGCGTTGGGCAGTTATTTGCCTCCACGTCATGCATTAGTTTAATACACAGCTAGCCATGGAATATCCTTTACATATTCAACAACAACAGCTCATCTTATACATCCTTACGCAATTTCTACGTCATTGCACATGCACATAACCTTTCAATTTCGGTTTTAAATACGATCAAGTGTTTACATTTCCTGTTTTTAAAAAATGTTTCCAACCCCATACTTTTGAATGATAAGTGTATGCATGTTCATCTGCAAAACTAAGCTGATAAAGCTTGTTTTTCTGGTGAAACTGGCAGGAGGTTCTGCTGGTTAGGTTAGTCTAATTAAATGGGCACAGTAGATAACCAGTATCTTACAAGTGATCACGCAACACATAGGGGTGACTAGCAATGCTGGTCTGTTCAGAAAGATTGACAAAGATTTTAAAGAAGAGAAAAGAAGATGAGCACACACACACACACACACACACTGACCCGGTCTCTGGTGAGCATCTGGGCTCGGTTCTTGTGGACAATTTGGACGATGCCAGGAGGCTGAATCCAGGCCTCACCATCCACCTGCACAGGTACGCCTTCATCACCCAGGATGGTGATCTTCACCTGCCGACACTGAGGAAACAGCCAGTGTCAAAGCACATCTGAACTCAAATGACTCATGTAAGATTAGTTTAAAAATTACATTTAAATTACCAGATGATGCATATTATTAAATTATTTACCAGAAATGACCCATAAACAAGTTCTCATATACACACAACAACATTAGATGATCAACATTTAAAAATTCACCTACCCTACACACACCAGTTACTTTTATTTTAAAGAGAGTATAGACAACTGTATTTAATTTTAGTTCTGAATATTTCATTATATTTAATAAATTGAGTTTCATTTTACCACGGTGGAAGAACACTTTTCCCAGAACGTTCTAATTTACTCTAATCTCTTCAAAATGGAGTATAATTAGTCTAAATTAATGATACAATCATTGTGTTGTCACAAAAATTGTTTTGGACTAATTTCTCCATTGTGACTGTTTCATTTCTTTGAATTGCAATTCAGTAAATTCCTCATCTTGTCACTTTGATTCAAATTTCAGTTAGGGTGTAGTTGAATTTAATTTATATTCCAACCCGTGAATTGACGGGAAGATAATTGTTAAATTCTGCACTGTGCCATAGTGTTCAGACCTGTGTGATGCGGTGATGTTGTAGGTTGATGACTCGGGACATGGCCATCTGCATGCTGCCGAACACAGCCACCACTTCCAGCTTCTTATCATCAAACGATGGAGCTCCATAATTCTACACAAACAAATACAATGGCAGACAATATTTCATAACGTCCACCGTTGAACCACATTCTCATCATCTGAACTATTCTTTATTTACACAAGTCTATATCTATCTTTCTAAATATATATGTTAAGATAAGCAGCTTGAAACATGAAACACAGGAAGGACCAGATGTCTTATGTGTGTACTCTGATTCTGACTGGGAAATGATATCATGGTTTTCCACTTTACAGGAAAGAATCTGTTACCGTGACGTGAGTTAGATACTGATCAGATATCCAAACAGCATCACTCCAGGTTGGCTATCCGCTGTAATATATGTAAAAAATTGCACTGTGTACTTAAAGCTAAAATATGTCATTTTTTCCGCCGCTAGGGGTCGCTAACCTATTACAATAACAAAGGCGTAGGTTGATGAAGCATAAGCAGAATTATGGAACTTGTCGTCATGATGATGGATCTAATAATGTTTATGGATGAATGAATACATTGATGTTTTTAATATGACTGTGGTATGAAGCAGGTCGCGATTGCTAAAGAGAGACAGACATCAGCGCCACACGCGAGTCCCGCGGATATAAAGGAATATGGACATTTCTTTCTACCAAAGTGCCAGCAAGTGCAGAATTACTCCTCACACAGGTCAGTTTATTTGACGAATTCAACTTGTGAGGTAACGCAGCGCTGTTTCGCTTGGTCTACACTATCACGCAAAACTGCATTTGAGTCTGTTGAAAGTTACAATGTTATTCTATGTGTCAGTTTGTTGGCTGTATGAGACTAGCAGTAAGCTAGATCAACATTAGAATAAGATACTGATCATATTCTAACATTTCATCATGTTGAGCTATATAACACTGATTTGTTTTATGTACATTTGCTCACCTGTCTAATAAAGTACATGCAAGAGCGGCGTCTCTGTCAAGTTGAAGTTAGTCACGGACGCTAGCTCTCGGCATCTCGAAAACGCCACGCTGATATTGATCCTCGTTTTAGTTCTCCTTTTGTCCCAAAGTCTGCTTGCCATGGTCCATAATGTTTTGAACGGAACGAAACAACAACAACAGCGTGAGCGTGGCGCTTAGACATTACGCAGTTGTCCACGTCTGTCGCCATGGTTACTATGGCAGTACGAGCAGAAACCAGGGATAACGGGGATATTACGTCATTGACAGGCGACAATGACCAGGGACGAGTCATTACTTAAAATGGGAATTTCTCTGAAATTAAAAATCTTTGGGAACTTTTTGGATATTGTAAGTACACAACTGCAGGAAATATATCACACTGTGCTATAAGTGATTTTTGGATATTTTATTACAAAAATCTTACATATTGTACCTTTAAGAAATATTGGATGAGCAAGAGCTTAAAATGTTTCTGTATACTAGACTTCAGTGTACTGTAAATGATCATACTTGTTACATTTTCACTGCTCTTTTACGCTCTCATCTTATTCTATTTTCCACCATTTATTCACCACACCAGTTTCAAATTGCTTCCTGTTTATTCGCCACAATGCATTTTGAAAAATGATGAAAGGATATTGATGGATTGATGAGTGGTTGTAAATGTATGGTTGATGCATTCTGAAAGTCGTATTTGCAAGAAGAAAGTCTGGCCAGGAGCCATTGTTTATTGACAGCTCAGAACATTAAAAAGATGCACTGAGGATAAATGAACGGCACAGACTCATCTGTTCAACTCTGAGCTGATTTTTCACTTTGTTGAACTGAACTGCCCTCCAGAAAGTAAAGTTATAAGTTCTGAACTGAAATTCGTTTTCATTGATGGACTCACATTGTCCTCTTTGGTGCCACCCCAGAAATTAATGCCTCCTGCATAGCTGGGGATGTTCAAAACGGCAAGACCCTGAAGACTCGGCAAAGACATGGGCACTCCATCACACTGCACACAAATAGAGAGAGAGAGAGAGAGAGAGAGAGATACATGATGTAATGTACAGCTTCTCAGAACAACGTTTGAAACATGAAACCATGACCACTTAGATGAAAAGTACATCTACACATAAACACACAGTGGCAAAGCATCATTCATAGTGTGTGAAGGGAAGTAAATGGCACAACGAGTACTTCCTCTTCCCCTTAAAGGTCAGAAAAGGGAGAAATGTATTCAGCCCAAATGTCAGCATCTTGCATTCCCTTTCTCTCTGTCTGTCCAACACATGCTCATACCTCCAGCTGGACTCTTTGTTCCAGGTTCTTGTAAGTTTTCTGCACCAGTTCTTTGGTCCCTAGCACTCCATACCACATCATGTTTTTAGTGCGACTACTGTGGGAAAAAAAGAACGAAATTTCACTGTTTTAGTCAGCATTATATAAACAACAGCATCACTGAAGAAAAAAAAACAACAACATTAAAAGCAAAACTGTAACTAGTAATGCCACATCTCTGCAAGACATTTTCATTTGGATTTAATGGATTATATTCAGTAATTATCAAACATTTCTTCTTTCTTACCTGCACTTTTTTGGGTGCTCATCTCTCTTGTTGTTGAACTCCAAAGATATTTTGGCATCCAGCCCGATGCCAAAATAGTTATTCATCACACACTTTTCTGTGCACTGCCTGTGGAACAGAGAGACAAGCAGGATGAATTGAGTCAGCTGAGTCACAAAAGGACTGACTTATGAATAAAAAAAGATTTTTGAAGTGCTAAATAAACAGAAACGGTGGATGTATTCATCATACATCATTCACAAGGAAAATGTATTCATTTATAGATGAAATTGTTGCAATGTCACATACTGTAAGCAACTGTCTCTTATAGTGATGGATATGAGAAGTGCTAAGCTCTAATGATCTATTAGATCACGGTTTCTACAAAAATATAAAGCAGCTGTTTTTAACATTGATAATAATAATTTAAAAAAAAAATCTTAAGCACCAAATCAGCATATTAGAATGATTTATGAAGAATAGTGTGACACTAAAGACTGGAGTAATGATGCTGAAAATTCAGCTTTGCCATCACAGGAATAAATTACATTTAAAAAAAGAAAACAGTTATTTTAAATTATTTCACAATATTACTGTTTTTTACTTTAACTGTCAAATAAATGCAGCCTTGATGAGCATAAGAGACTACTTTCAAAAAAACATTTTCAGCTAATCTAGAACAACTCTTTTCAGCGCTATAATTATGTAAATAATGCTAACATTGTAAACGTGACCCCTACAGCCTGTAGATGGAAACATACCGGTATAGGCCTGGGATAAAAACAGATTTATGTCCACTGAGACTTTGATGGACTAGTGTGTCAGTGAGTGGAATAGCAAACACTGTGGTATATTACACTGTCAACATGGTTTTAGAGCTACTGGAACCTCAGATGTCATTACTGCACTTCTCTGGAGAAAGATAAGAGCTCTGCCATGTGTGTGTGTGTGTGTGTTTGCACAGTCTTACACAGACTCTTCAGAGAAAAGCACAGTGCTGAAGCTCTCTGACTTCTCCAGTAATATAGGGGTTGTAGTGGTTGGACTCAATGTGTTTTGACCTGTCAATAAAATAAAAGAATAGAAGAGTGAGAGAGTGATGTGCAAAATACAGCCATAAGAAAAAAACCTAGAATCACTACAAAAACTTCAATAGCAATAGCACAATAATAAAAACTGTGTATTAAACTGTTCTGAAAAAAAAGAAGCTTTTGAATTTACTTTTTTTTCTTTTTCTTTTTTCGATAAGTGGTTGAATGAACTGAAATGATCTACTTTTAGATATAAGTTCATGCTACTACTTATTTTTGGTAGTTTCAATTCAATTATTTTGTCTATGATGTACTCCTTGAAAATGATTCAAAGCTTAATATAATTTTGACTAGCTTACTTCAATTTAGTTGTGTGAGACTGAAAATCTTTGTCTTAATTTGATATATACATACAGCAAATCCAATGAGTTAAATAATTTGCGGAAACAGATTTCCTTAAACCATTTGAGTTTAAATATTTGACCATTGTGAACTGTAAATTTTATGAGTCTAATAAAAAGAATATTTCTTATAACTAAATAAAACTCTTACTTGAGTTACTTGTTACTAAATGTTACTTGAGTAACTTGAAACCAATTAAACACATTAATTAACGCAAACAAATCTCTTAAAGTCTATAGCACTACACAAAGTATTTGAGTAGTTTACATGTGAATTTAAAGTTAAGAAAACTAATTTCCAGTTGACTGAACAAATACTTGTCAATTAAAGCTAAGTTTATTTTATTTGAAAAAATTCAAATTAAACTAAGCTCACTTGATTACACACATTTGTTTAGTAACACTGACAAGAGTAGATTTAGTAAAAACTAGCATCAGTGAAAGTTTACATTTTTTGTTACATTTTCTTTTTTCAGAGTAGCTACTCATTTCATGTGACTCTAAATCAAAATCAAAATGAATAAAACAGTTCTTCATGCAAAATGGGTTTAGTGCTGCCATTTATGTGAGCTAATGCAGTGTTATGCATGTTGATATAGTTGATGTTAATTAACTCTGTTGCTCCTTCTAGTCATCCTTGGCCTTTTCTTTATTCACGTCTCCCTGCTCACAAAGACAGTTCTGAGGGACGACCTTTTCTAGACAGTGTCTGGGTTGCATGATGTCGTTTTTTACTTCCACCAGGGCATGCAAACAAACACATAGTTATTTTGCATCCTCCTAATTTAATGTTATGTCTTCTGTATTTGCAATGCTCTTAAGTCTTAATTTCTACAGCTGACAAAATGAATTATGATCCTCTAACTGTGGGGTTTTTATTCAGGGACTTTGGTGGTTGTTTTAATGATCCTCAGGTTGAGGCCAACTGCAATTTTCATGCAATTGTGCTAAAAACATCTTTAATTGATCAAAATGCCAATGTATGAATGAGCTACAGTAGAGATACAAATTTGTAGTGGAAAATGTAATCGAGAAGAGTTTGTCACTCACGTGGCTCCACCTCTTTGAGGTCCTCACTGCTGCCTCTTTTGATTGATGAGGAGGATGACATTCTCTGTACCTGGGTGTGTCTGTTCTGCTCATCCACCACTGAAAGAAAGCAACCAATAGCAATCTAATTAAATATTGGGTAAAGTTTCCCAGAAGCCACTGTAACATGCGTGTACATTCCTGTATCTGCAAACCACAGATTTTAGTTTTATCTTAATTAAATACAATCACGGTAAACACAGTAAAAAAAGTAAAATGTTAATTACTGAAGCCTTTTTGTGTTTTTCTCTCTGGGCATGTTTTGAAAATGTTATCTCACAATTATCTTCATGAAGTACAGAAGTTTTGCCTTAGAATAAACGTCAAAAAGAAAATAAATTCAACCATTGTAGAGTACTCTATGTATTCTAACACTGGCCCAAAATCCAATGACTTTCCACTTTCACAGATGATTGCACTCATATTGTAAAGAATTACCCTTTTCTGCCTGATCTATGATTTGTCGGAGTGCTTTCTTTAGGCTGTTGGCCCTCAGCATCAGCTGCTCTCTTGATCTGAAGGGTCTGGACTGATCAGTGTCACTCTCGTCTGGTGAGATGGGTACGGCTGGTACCAGCTGGGCACTGGCGTCTTCGCTGAGAGCCTTAACCAAAGAGTCCAGCTTCTCGTTCAACATGGCACACTGAGATAGACACACACGCACAAATCAAAACAGTTTATAAAGAACAAAACACATGTAACTCTTTATCTGACACTTTATTTAACTGATTATTTGACTGTTTGTTTAGCTCTTCATTTAATCTTTTGACTGCTAATTCACTCATTATTAAACTGTTCATTTGGCTCATCATGTGTTGATTTTACTTAATATTTGTTTGTTCCTTTGGTTTATTATTTGACTGTTCGTTAAACTCATCACTTGTCTATTTAACCATTCACATGTTCTAATTGTTTAACTGTTTGCTCACAATAACTGAAAAAAAAAAAACATAAGTCTCCAGCTTTACCTTTTTTGCCATAGCATCGGCCTCCTCTTTATTCTCTGTGGCCCGTTCATAAGCTTTGCCGACCTCAGCCACAAACTCATTAACTGTTCCACAAAGAAACCTGTGAATGAAAGAGATAGGAATACAAAATGTAGAGGTTCAAAAGGATTTTTGAAAAATTAAAAAACAAACAAAATGATATTCATATTCTATAAACATAACCTGCACAACACATTCATAAACACAAATCAACCGTTTACTCACTTAGCAGATGATATAACGTCACTGTGTTTGTCAGAGTCCAGGATTTTGGTCAAGTGAGTGGCAACAGAATCAGCATATTGTGTAATCTGGATTTTAAAAACATCATTTTAAAACAGAAAATCTCATTTAAATACAATTTAATTGGCATTTATCAATTGGCATTTATTTGATGAAAAATACAGTAAAAACAGTAATACTATGAAATATTATTTCAATTTAAAAGTCGAACTGTTCTCTTAGTAAATGCTTAAGAAATAAAGGTCACCTGTAGGGGGGAGTCTAATGGGTCCTCCTCCTTTAAAATTGCTGGAGTCTGTTTGGTGGGCACTTCATAGGTCATCACACTCCATCTGTGACACACATTCAGGAACAGAGAGATGAGTTTGATGGGAGTCATTCATCCACTCATTCTCCTTCTTTCTCTTTGTCTCTCACCTGTCCAGCATCTTTGTTGTAGCTCTCTCCAGTTTCTCCAGTATCTGCAGCAGCTGAGCATCATCATCACAGAGTCCTCCCCAGCCCAGCACACGTGCCAGGTCATTTCCTGTGCCCAGCGGTAACACGCCCAGCTGGCACTGTTATACACACAACACAACACAATAAGAGTGTACTTCTGGGTACATCTAGAGCTAAAGACGACAATATAAAAATGGACCATATGTAAAATACCGTTCAAGAGGTTTTAAAAATCAATCAAATCAAATTGCCGCAAGCTTTGTCAAGAGTAATATCAAATAAAATACTATATCATACACATTTTCTACTTTTTAATATGTCTATTAAAATGTTTTAAACCTTGTACGATATGATACACAAATTATTGTAAACTTTATGAATTAAATAAAGGACAGCGCGATCGCAAATCCAATAGCTGCGTTGCCGTCTCTGTGCGTCTCTCAGAAATCAGAGCTTTGACAAGAGTAATATCATTAAAGACACAACATCACCCAAATTCTTTTACTACTTGATATGTTTGTTTAAATGTTTTAAATCTTAAACGATATGATATGTTTCTATGTTTCTCCGACTCTCTCCTAGAAACGGGAGGCGTTTACGTATTCTTTATAATTAGTTCAGATTTGCATTTTTTTGGATAGTAAAAGTTGTTTTAGCAGTTTTTAACTATTGAATATGTTCTTTCATGTTCTCTAATCAGCTATTTTATATAGTCTTTTTATTTGAGGTTGTGGATGAATCCTCTGTAAATAAAAATAAAATAAAAATACATATTTTACCTGTTTATTCCATATTTAGAATTATTGTTTTAATTAGAAGATACATTTCAATACATTTTATAATTATATATAAAAAAAATTTTTTTTGTAATTACATTTTTTACGAGTTCAGTAAATGAAAACTAAGGGACCAAAATCACACTTAAAGGGATAGTTCACTTTGAAATAAATTTTTGATATGTTTTAGCTTACCTCAAGGGCATCCAAGATTTAGGTGTCTTTGTTTCCGCAGAAGTTTCAATTTTTATATTTTTAGGTCAAACCGTTCTTGTCTGTCAGTCGTATAATGCAGGTCTATGGTCACCACCTCAAAGAGCATGCATAGAGAAGTCCAAATTAAACATGATTTAATGACTCGTAAATGTAAGTACACATTGATTAACCTGGCCCTAGCCAGATGAATTTCGCTCCGCCTAGCTTCACTCACATCCATCTGGAACCTCTTCCATTGAGAGTGATTTCTCCAACCAACTTTATGGTTTAGCCAATCAGGACGCAGGGCGGGAGTTTCATAGATGTGACGTAGTGGAGAAGCGACCGTGAGACTGTTTTGATTCAGACAACAATGGCGGCTCGCATCGAGGAAACAAGCGTTAACATTGATGCTGCTATTTCATCCGTGTTGTCCAATCTACCTAATATTGTTTCATTAAAAGAACATCAGAGAATGGCTCTTAAGGCTTTTGTTGGTGGAAACGATGTTATATAGATCAGTGCCTTCTCCCGACCGGATTCTTCAGCGTCACGGGTTGGCTTCGGTGTGAGTGGTTGAAATAGCACGTCGATAAAGATGACAGACAAGTGGCTTATCCAATCATATGCAAGGATTTTTGATAAGGCCCAGCCTTCTGAAACGCCATTTCAATGGATCGGTTCCAGATGGATGAGTGAAGCTAGGCGGAGCGAAATTCATCTGGCTAGGGCCAGGTTACACATTGATGGCCTAAGACACGAAACGAGCGGTTCGTGTGAGAAAACGAACAGTATTTATATCGTTTTTACCTCATTAAATCATGTTTAATTTGGACTGGTGGTCACCTTTGGAAGGTGGTGACCATAGACCTGCATTATATGACTGACAGACAAGTACGGTTTGACCTAAAAATATCAAAATTGAAACTACTGCGGAAACAAAGACACCTACATCTTGGATGCCCTTGAGGTAAGCTAAAACATATCAAAAATTAATTTCAAAGTGAACTATCCCTTTAAAACGGGCTTCTTATGCAATTTTACGAACTTCCGGTTAAAGCCCTGCCCACTTCCGGATTTATTAAGATTGTTAGAAATACAGATACAGATATTGGCTCCGTTGCACACCCCTAGTGCACATTTTCATAAGCTTTCATTAAAATACTTTATTCTGACCTGTTTGTGCAGGCTGAGTTTGTCCAGTTCAGAAAGAACCCAGCCCACGCTCCCATCTCCACCACACACTAGGATACGAAAGGTCTCAAACTTCTGGAAGAGGCGAAGCCTGTACACATAAACAAAAATTAAAAACAACAAATATGGCTCAGAGGGCAAATTCACTTTGCCAACAAAATTGTACGTTCAAACCAGAATACTATTAAAAGCTGCACTAAGATTGAAAGTACATAATGATTAAGAATGTTACAGCTATCAAATAAATATGTTGGGTTGTTTTAAAAGCTAAGCTACAGTGAATGATTCCTGACTCTTTAACTGCCTTACAAAGTCTTTTAATTGATATTGCAGTGTGCTATCAGCGGACGTTGATCTCACCCCAGCTGTGGGCCGCCGTTCATGAGGTCAAAGACCTGCGCCGGGTTCAGAAGCTGCCTAAACCTGCGCAGGAACTTGACGCCCTGGTTGTCACCACTCTTACTGTTCACCAGCACCAGCAGAGGACTCGAACAGGATGGAATGGTGGCCTTCCAAAAGCCTGCAGTGAGCAAGGGATGATGAAGAAGGACAATGGTGGGATCGGAGAGGGGGGAAAGAGAGTGGGAATAAGAGAAGGAGAGGAGAGGAAAAGAACTTGGGAGGGGTGTCATGTTTGGAAATGTAACCATCTTTAACCACCGTCTCTTTAAGAACATTACTAACATTAAGAATTACTTTGTTCCCATAAAATCTCTAGATTAATGCAGTATGCAAAAGTTTGAGGTCTGTAAGATTCTTCTAATGTTTTTGAAATAAGTCTCTTATGCTCACCAAGGCTGCATGTACTTGATCAAAAATACAGTAAAAACAATTTAAAGTAACTGTTTTATATTTTATTTTTATTTTTAATGATTCTTTAATAAATACAAAGTTAAAAAGAACAGCATTTATTTGAAAAATATTTTCATCTTTGCTGAATAAAAGTAATAATTTATTTCGAAAAAAGAAAGAAAAATCGTACTGACCTCAAACCTTTGAATTGTAGTGTAAATATATATTAAGTAATGAAATAACTGGAATAGCATTTTATTCAATGGTATTTTTAACTGACACAGTGATATTATACTTGATCTAAATAATGTAATTCGCAACAAAAAACATATGACAATGTATACAAGCGTTAAGAAGACAGCTAAGCTGATGCAGTTGCCAGGGCAACCCTTACCGTCAGAGTCGATGCTGTTGAGTGCAGTGGGTGGAATGATGGAGACCTTACACTGACCCAGAGGACAAACCTTTCCCAACTGCTCTTTACAGCTATTATGCACCTACACAGAGGGAATGTACAGAGACATACATTATTGGCTACTCACAGACAGCTAACATCCATCAGTGTAACAGATGGAGACACACTGGTTACACAAGGTACACACCTGTATAAATATAATGTGATAGTCTTTCCTGTAAACTGTGTTTATGTGGTATTTCTAGTTGTTATGTGTAAAGAGTGAAGTGGGTGTGATGTGATATACAGCACTGTGATCGGTTTTACAGAGTGGGCAGGAAGGTGACGTACGATGGCTTTGCACCAGAGGCACCGCCAGTCCTGTAGTCGGCGAACGCTGCCACAGTTTCGATCGCACACCACACACTTAGCACTAACCGGCAGGTTTCCCTCCAACCACTGGTGAGGCATTGACACCTGAATACACAAACATGCTAATTTAGGTACAGATTACCACTGAGACCATATGCATGGAGAATTTAAAAGCTTCACTTACCCCATCCTCATCCTCAATGATGTCATTTCCTATGGACGCCAGAGTGGTCCACTTACAGTTATTTGTGGATCGTACGGCACAGCGCTTGTGGGCTTTGAATTTACACACTAACAGCACATGCAGAGAAAAGATGACATTAAACAGGTCATCACTAGAACGTGATAACAGGCTGAAGGCAATGTTCGTATTCATGAGTCATTGATTACACACTAAACAAACAACGTCATTGTTCGTTCTACGAGCAGAATAAACAACGCATGAAAAGGTAAATGGCACCAAAAGGGAAAATCCAAACAAATTGTTCATAATGAATGAGAGAGAGAGAGAAAACAAAAACAAATATGAAAAAAAAAAAAAAAGCTTTGTGTTTATGTTTACCTTCACAAGAAAGACCATGAGAGGTGACCCCCGGCAGAGCCTCTCGACACACGTTGCAAAAGGTGGGCCGGGCGTGAGAGCAGGCGTACCAGTTATGCATCCCGGAAAAGTGCTCCATGTTAAACTGACTGGCCTGTAATCATAAAAATCATGTCAACATCACTGCATTATAAATAAATACACATCCATATAATAAGATCTGCAGTGATTCTCAACCAGGGGGCCTCAAGATGACTCATAGGCTACATTCACACAGACAGTTTTTGAGATTGACATCTCCATTAACTTACAGGTGTGAGTTTCGAAATGTCCTGTTCAAACAACAACTTACAGTAGCGTCTCGAATACGGTCTGTATGAACGTGCAACGGGAGTCAATCCAGTGTTCTCTTACCAGTAACAATAGCGACAGTGACCAAAGTAATATCGAAGATAGCGACGTCCATAAAACTGAAAAGTATTATCACTTTTGACATGACAAGAGTCCAATCGAGCCGTGAGTTCGTCCGTCAAATCTTCATTAACCGACAGCAGCTTTTATATCTAGGTGGAGAGCAGAGCTTTTGAGTCACGCGTAGAGCACAAAACTGACAAGAGCCGCTCCGGTGGAGGACAGAGACTGAATCTAAAACCGTCAGATGACACAGATCATATATCCATTGCTGTAAGTTACTGAAAGCAAAACCACACACAAAAACCCACAACAAACAGTAGACACGCCTTTGTGTAGCGCAGAGTGGCTCTCTCGCACTGTATGATGTGAAAGACAACTAGTGGTCCAATCAGGTTCCATTCACACAGTGCGGGATAAAAGACCATTTTCCGAGAATGCTGTTGTGAGTCCTGAAAATGTACAGGTGTGAGTTCGGTTATAGAATACTTGTTGTCACTCCCGTAAATAACTGATCTCTGTGTGAACGTAACCGTATTAAGGACTCAAATAGAGGACTGACAACTGTGTTCTGTTGCTGTATGAACATGGCCATAATGTTTTAAATTTAAATTATCGAAGTAAATTAAAAAAGTAATGTAATCAAATTTTAAAACGCAATGGGCATTTTATATTATATCAATCTCAAAAAATCAATTTTATTGGGTAGAAATTGTGAGCATTGAGAAGTAAAAAAGGCTAAGAACCACTGATATAGGGTCAAATACAACAAGCTACTGTTATAGACAAAGACTAGCCTGGGATCTGTTAGGAATTCTTTTTTTTTAACTTTGGCTCACGAAAAGCTCTAAAGATTTAAAAGTCACATGGATTGACACTAACTACTTTACATCAATATTTCACCTAAACACAATTAGAATTACGTATATTAGTTACTCCTGTGGCTTTCATTTATTGATCACTTAACAAAGAGGGAAGATGAATCCATGTGAAGGAACATTAAACTGCCATTATGAGCATCAATGCACATTAACTGAAGCTTTGAATGATTTTGGAGGGGTTTAAAGGTGAAGGTTCAGACACTGACCTCATAAGTCTCCCATTTCTGTACAGACTTCAAAGCACTGATCCAGTCTTCCATCTCCTTCCTGCTCTCCGCACACAACATCAGCTTACGGAATGGAGTAATAACCTGGGAGAGAACGAGAGATGATTGAGAAAAATGATTGAGATACCTTCATAAACATAGGCATATTTAAAAATGGTTCACAAGGTTTAAATAAAGCCATTGAAAAGAGGTTTTGCTTACTGTGAAACTGTTGTTGATGTTCTTGGTGCTGGTCTCGGCCACGCTGGCATCTGAGAGGTCGACCTCATCGAATATGAGAGACTACAACAATAAAGTAGCATGTTTTTGTCACCAACAAACACTGAAACAAGCACCTATATTCAGCACCACCTGAGGTTCAATCTACCCCAGAGGGGCCATGCTTTTACCTTTGAATCTTTGGCATAGTAGAGAGTCCTGCCTCGCAGTTTGAAATATCTCCTCTTCCATCTCTGAAAAGAGCTGGTCTGTTTGAGTAGAATACCCTCCTTTACACTCTTCTACAAAACAATGCAGAAAAAGAGAAAATAAATTAAAAACGTGTACAAGACAGCTATTGCAAATACAACTATTTGATTTGTTTTTATAATAGTGTTCTGTTCATGTATCCCGACTGCCACATTTTTTATAATGAAACATTTTCATGCCATGTTAGAACTGGCTATTTTTAGAAACTGCTTCACAGCCCAGTGGATTTACTGGTGTTCATAAATTGCTTCTTTTGCATGTGCATGAAATTCAGTTTTCAGTTTGTTATACTAAATCATAATAAGAAATGAACACACACAAAAAACCCCTGCAGCTCCAACTTGCATTAGCAATCCTGTAGACCTACTTCAATAACAATGGCTTATCACCAGGCCCAGATGGAATTGTTGGACTTTTTCAGCTTTTTCTGGTTTTAAACATGATAAAATGTATTGAACAGAGCTTTATACTCTAATTGATAGACAAGAGTATAAAATTAGAAAGAATATGTATTAAACAAGGATGCATGGTTTGGTTAAAGGGATAGTTCACCCAAAAATGAAAATTCTGTCAACATTACTCCCCCTCAAGTTCCAAACCTGTGTGAATTTCTTTCTTGAAAGAATTGCTGAACGCAATTTTTTTTTTTTTTTTTTTAAAGAACATAGGTAACCAAACAGTTGATGAAAATACTATGGAAGTGTTTGGTTAACCATATTCTTCAAAATATGGACTGCATTTATTTAGCGCTTTCACAGACCCAATGCCCACCAAAACGCTTTACATTTGCCTCACATTCACCCATTCACTCACTCATTCATCCACCGACGGCGGTGTCAGCCATACAAGGCGCCATCCAGCTCGTCGGGAGCAGCTGGGGTTAGGTGTCTTGCTCATGGACACCTCGACACTTGGTCAGGTGGAACCAGGTGGAACCAGGGATTGATCCACCAACCTTCCAGTTTGTAGACTACCTACATGAACCACTGAGCCACTGCCGCCCTTCTTTTGTGAATAGCTACATCGTCTTTTGTGTTCAGCAGAAGAAAGAAATTCATACAGGTTTGACACTTGAGGGTGAGTAATGTTGACAGAATTTTCATTTTTGGGTGAACTATCCATTTAATGGCTTTGTCATTGATAGATGTTTGAATTCGGTGGAAATCTGCATAGCTTTCTACTCATCACTACAGTATGATAACAGATTGTTACACACATTGTCAATGACTTCAGTGGAAACACTTATGTGGACTTGAATGTTTATTGGCACATTAAAACTATCTCTGAGCCTCTATCAGATTTAACATAACAACACAGTCAAAACCAGTTTCTCTCTCTAACACTTTCCTTCACTCCTTCCTTGCTTAATTGTTTATAAGACACATTGGTTCAATGTAAAGGCTTTACGGTAAAGCATTTAAAAAACCTGATCTGTCACCTAGCGTAATTCCTGATTAAAGTGCCAACAACACTGAAGGAGGAGCTGCAACATTTCCATAAAGTTCACTATGGGCCTCCAAAACATGATCAGGTGTTCAATTCATCGCGGACTTTCATCATAAACCTTGACACTTCAATCTGGTCTGAAGGGCAGAGCAGCTAAAAGACTCTCTAGAAGTCATCAAATACAACTGTACTTGCACTTGAGCAGTAAAATCGAATTACAATGTAGTTTGTCCTTGTCTAAACATGTAGGGGCATATTCTGTGCCCTCTGATGACGTGAGATGTGAATTTCATGACTGTATCGTGGCAGAACACCACCAGCAGCTCAGCAGTAAGACAGGCTGATGGGACATAAACGACAGCATATCTGTCTTTCGTGGCTGTGTCACACTGAAAACAAGGAGAGTGAGAATGCTGTTGCTAATCATTAAGGAAATCAAAGTGAGTAACCTAGCCAGGCAATCTGCTAAGAGTCATGATGACGTACACATGAAGGGAGTGAATTCACAGAGACAATAAGAGACTGTACACAAAAAAACCTGTAAGCTCTAGTCTAGTGGGAAAGAAAGTATATCTGTACCTCACTGGCTATATTTTCACACTCTCCTAAAGGGACCATAATACATTAAACAAATTACCCTGAAATGTTACACAATATAATATCATTTCTCATCATTTGAAAATAGACAAACTTTTAGCATTAACATGTAAAAAACGGCATTTTACATTTCATCATGAGTGCTCACACTTAATCAGATACACAGCTTTACATATTAAGAGCCAGATTTACTAACAGCTTGTGGCAGCGCAAAACCTCTTTTGCCGTTAAAAAACTACTGTCAGGATTTACTAAAGACACGCAGTGAAAAATTCACTGAAAAAGCCTTGGACACAGTTATTTTTAAGGCTGACCTTAGGTCATAGGAAGGAGTTTCCCTTTCAGGCGCAAAATTTATGGGAGGAGAGTATTTAAATGAATTTAAATGAAGGGGATTTACTAAGGTTTGCGCTCACCAATGTACTGGTGTTTGCGCCATTATTTACTGCCCCCAAAAAAGCACGTCTTAAACCAGACGCTACCTGGTAGATTGCGTTGGTCATTATGGAAATGATCTGACTGCATCTATGTTCTTTAATTTGCGCGTCGTCAGTAGATCATACGCATAACTTTCCACTCCCATCTGCTCTGTTTTGGAATTGCACCCTCAAGCTAATTTGCACTGTTTAGTAAATCTGCCCCAAAATGTCTCAGAATTTTAAATGTTAGGTCACATGTGAGGATTTGAGCCACATTCAGTTGCAATGTCAATGTAACCTCTGAGTCACTTTTGCAGGTGATTATACTCTCTACATCCCTGTCAACAGGTGTCTTATTTTCTCCCAGTGAGTCCCAGCAGGGCTAAAAAATATATGTGAATTTCCCCCAGGAGGTAAATCTGTTAAAACTCCCTTTGATAGAATAAATTAAATAATGTTTTCTTAGAGAAGTAGATTTAGGGATTAGTTGAGTCAAAAGTTATTATATTTAGATTAATATAAAAATAACATAACAATTTTTTTTTTTTATAGTATGTATGTTCTCATTATGTATGCATGTATGTATGTATGTATGTATGTGGGTCAGGTTTTGCTATTTTTGTGAGAACCAAATGTCCCCACAAGGACAGTAAAATCTAAAAACAAATACACCATGGAAACAAAAACAAACAAAAAAAATATTCTAGAAAAATATAATTATATCGAAAATTTAAAAACAATAAATCACAGAAAATACATAAAAAGAGGTGTATATGTAATATGACGAAACAAATAAGTCTGTGTGAGAGACAAAACTTCAGGATATCTGCCAGTGAAGCCTCCCTGTACATCAAGACAAACATCAGACCCAGACATCACTCACTCCATCCTTTCAGAACAGAGCTGGTTCCACATACAAAAATAAGAACATCTTTGATCCATCACAGTGTGCAAGCGTACACACACACACACACACACACACACACACACACACACACACACACACACACACACACACACACACACACACACACACACACACACACACACACACACACACACACACACACACACACACGCACACACACACACACACACACACACACACACAAGTCTGGTCCACTATCTTTGTGGGGACTCTCCATAGACGTAATGATTTTTATACTGTACAAACTGTATATTCTATCCCCTTACACTAACCCTACCCCTAAACCTACCCATCACAGGAAACATTCTGCATTTTTACATTTTCAAAAAACATTACTTAGTATGATTTAAAAGCTGTTTTCCTCATGGGGACCGCTGGCTGGTCCCCACAATGTAGGTGATCTCAGGTTTCTCAGCACACACTCACACACACACACAGTGATGTCAGATGATGACTCAGAGGAATCTCACAATGATTGCTATTTTTGTTTAATCTCTACCTCTTCCTCTCCTAATCCTCCTCTCTCTCTTTTAGTTCCTCTCAAATCCTCAGTTTCTGTATTCACCCTGCTCTTCTATTTCTCCTTTCTCTCTTCTTTCTTGCGTCATTTCGGCTCTCCCTGTTAATTCCCTTCTCTGTTTGCTGTCATTCTCTTCTCATTTCTCTTTTTTATCCTCCTCTTTTGTCCTCTCTCTCATCTGAAGGGCACAGTGCCTCTGCAATGCCCTACATAGAGCTAGAACTACAAATCCCACGATTCCTTATGTAACCCCTCCACCTGGGTCCCACTCGACCCGCTCCGAGCGGGCCTCGAACCCGGGTCTCCGGCATGAGAGTTAGGCGCTCTAACAAGGAGGCTAAAGACTGCAGCCTCTAGCGTCTGTCGCTAGAGAGCCTTTTGAGATCAGAGGAGTGAGGTTTACTCGCACAGCAACTACTAGCTGGCCTCCGTTACACTCACCCCCCTAAACCTCACTCCCATACGGGTCACGGCACCAATGTAACCCCTCCACCTGGGTCCCACTCGACCCGCTCCGAGCGGGCCTCGAACCCGGGTCTCCGGCATGAGAGTTAGGCGCTCTAACAAGGAGGCTAAAGACTGCAGCCTCTAGCGTCTGTCGCTAGAGAGCCTTTTGAGATCAGAGGAGTGAGGTTTACTCGCACAGCAACTACTAGCTGGCCTCCGTTACACTTACAGCAAAGGTGATTAGATCTAAGGAGTTATAAAACCTGGTGAGCTATCCGTCAGCATTCCCATTTATCTCAATGGCTAGTGTATGCAGCCCAGAAGTACACAGACTGGATGCAGCCATTTTTACTTCATGGGTACGAATTGTGATGTTCACAGTTGGGAGGGACGTATTGAATTGAATTGAAACTCTGAAACTGAAACACATATAGATACATATATATATATATGAAGAGTTTGGTTCCAAAACGCAATAAATCCATTTAGATTAATTTGAGTAAAAATGTGTTTTCTTTACCAAGAAAGTGGAAAGATGAAAACCACTATTTTCTGTTTCAAACTTTCACATAGCATTTGTAGGTCATAATAACAAAAAAAATTTAAATCCAGGTTTTGATTTTCAAAGATTTATTATAAAAACGGATTATTTTTTCCCCAAAATGCAATAAATCC